AACAAGGTGATTGTTAAAGTGAGTCATGCCAGATTTTACTATCTTTTTTGCCACAATCATTAATCAAATCACTGCAGTCGTTAAGTGAGTCATGTGGCTGTTAAGCGACTCCATCTTCCCCCCCCCACTTGACCTTGCTTGTCAGAAGCCAGCTGACAAGGTTGCAAGAGGTACTAAGCACAGGAACTCAGGACACTGCAGCTGTTGTAAATAGATGCAGGTTTCCAAGTGATCGTATTTTGATCACATGACCATGGGGATGCTGCAATCATTGTAAATGTGAGGACCAGTCATAAGTCACTTTTTTCAGTATGTCTACAACTTTGAAAAACTGCTGAATGAATAGTTATACGTCAAGGACTACCTTTAACAGGGATCTAAAACTTCAGATCTAAAACCCCAAAAGTTTTCCAGAATAGGCCAGGACTATGCAGATTGCACCTGTCGACACCTCCTTAAAAAAGCTATATGGTTTCCATAGTTGCTGGGTGATCCCAAGCAAATAGGTATTTGAGATTTTGATCAAGCCCATACCCATTCAGTGAGCTCATGCCCCCTCTGATTAGGTGATTAGGCTCCTAAACAAAAATGAGCATCCTCCCAGTTGCCTGGATGGATAACTCCAGGAAAATCTGCATCTTCTTTAAAGAGGCACTGAAAGCACTGAGACCTCTCCTGCTCCCAAGCATCTTTGCAGCTTCAGATCCAAAGAGGAACACTGCCCTTTCTCACTGTGCTTTATATATACCTGTCCAGCCTAGATGAGTTCAAATCGCCAGGACCAGATGGATTACACCCCAGAGTTCTCAAGGAACTGGCAGATGTGATATCAGAGCCACTGAACTATATTTTTCAAAGATCCTGGAACACAGGGGAACTACCAGAGGACTGGAAAAGAGCTGATGTAGTTCCCATCCTCAAAAAAGGAAAAAAAATGGATCCAGGAAATTACAGACCTATCAGCCTGACCTCAATACCTGGGAAGATCCTGGAAAAGATAATCAAACAACGAATCAACAAACACCTAGAGGCAAACAAAGTCATTACTAAAAGCCAACATGGGTTTGTCAAAAATAGATCATGCCAGACAAATCTTATTGCATCCTTTGACCAAGTGACAAAATTAGTGGATAAGAAGAATGCTGTGGACATAATTTACTTGGACTTCAGTAAGGCATTTGATAAAGTAGATCACAACCTACTACTTGACAAGATAGAAAAATGTGGGGTAGACAGAACCACCACCAGATGGATCCGTAGCTGGCTGACCGGCCGTACTCAGCGAGTGGTCCTCAATGGAACTGCATCTATATGGAGGGAAGTGTGTAGTGGGGTGCCCCAGGGCTCTGTTCTGGGCCCAGTACTCTTCAACATCTTCATCAACGATTTGGATGAAGGGATAGATGGGGAACTCATCAAATTTGCAGACGACACCAAGCTGGCAGGAATAGCCAACACTCCAGAAGACAGGCTTAAGATACAGAAGGATCTGGACAGACTTGAACACTGGGCACTAACTAACAAAATGAAATTCAATGGTGAAAAAAGCAAGGTTCTACATTTAGGCAAGAAAAACCAAATGCACAAGTACAGCATAGGTGGCACCATGCTCAATAGTAGTAACTGTGAGAGGGACCTCGGAGTCCTAGTAGACAATCACCTAAATATGAGCCAGCAGTGTGCTGCAGCTGCCAAAAAGGCCAACACAGTGCTAGGCTGCATTAACAGAGGGATAGAATCAAGATCACTCTTCAATGCCTTGGTAAGGCCACACTTGGAATACTGCATCCAGTTTTGGTCACCACGATGTAAAAAAGATGTTGAGACTCTAGAAAGAGTACAGAGAAGAGCAACAAAGATGATTAGGGGACTGGAGGCTAAAACATATAAGGAACGGTTGCTAGAATTGGTATGTCTAGTTTAACGAAGAGAAGGACAAGGGGGGACATGATAGCAGTATTCCAATATCTCAGGGGCTGCCATAAAGAAGAGGGAATTAAGCTATTTTCCAAAGCACCTGAAGGCAGGACAAGAAGCAACGGTGGAAACTAATCAAGGAGAGAAGCAACCTAGAACTAAGGAGAAACTTCCTGACAGTGAGAACAATTAATCAGTGGAACAGCCTGCCTCCAGAAGCAGTAAATGCTCCAACACTGGAAGTTTTTAAGAAGAGACTGGACAGCCACTTGTCCGAAATGGTGTAGGGTTTCCTGCCCAAGTTGGACCCCCAAGGTCCCTTCCAACTTTACTATTATATATATAATATATACATATATGTTTTCTGAGGTTTTCGCGGGTATTTGTATGTAGGTCTTTGGTTATTCGGATTTTCTCCCACGTAAAATTGGAAGTGTCTTGGCGACATTTCGACGAAGTCTCATTCTTCATCTTCAGGCTGGTGCTTTCGGCTTCGTGCTTTGAGCAGCAATGTGTGGTCTTAGCTGTTTATTCCTTTTAACTTTTAATATATATAATATATGTGTGTGTGTGTGTGTGTGTGTGTGTGTGTGTGTTTTCTGAGGTTTTCGCGGGTGTTTATATGTAGGTCTTTGGTTATTCGGATTTTCTCCCACGTAAAATTGGAAGTGTCTTGGCGACGTTTCGACGAAGTCTCATTCGTCATCTTCAGGCTGGTGCTTTCGGCTTCGTGCTTCTATATAAATCTATATAAATCACTCCTGCTTTTAAGCTCCACTAATTAATTAACATATTCCAATTAATCTTAAACAAACATATTAATAAGACTTTGGGTATCCCTTCTACTACTCATAATATTCCAAGAATAATATTCTAATATTTTCATATATATTCCATCTCTTAATTTAATACATCATTAATTAATACCCTTTCTTCTCTTATCATAGATCTCTCTAACTCTTCTGTTACTACAAAATAGTTTTCTATATAAACAAAATAAAAACAAACAAAAAAACATTTCAACCTGTTAAATATTGATAGATTGATCTTTTAGAGTTTGAGGTTGAGATTCTACAAAATAATCTTTAGTTTTTCTCCATAGCTTCATCTCCTCTGACATTTCCAGTATTTTTTCCAATATCAGCTCATAGTCAAGCTGTGGGTAAAGGTCTGCTATTTCCATCATAAAAGAATCTTTTAATCTTTTTGTGGAAACTATATTTATTCTGCCTCCACCATTTTTAAATCACAAACACAACTCACAGCTGTTTCCAAGCCTTTATCTTCCCTTCTTATTAATTTCTGAAGGTCAAAGCAGTTGCAATAAATATTTTTGCCACAAGATGCCCTCAGTAAGCTATAAAATTTCCCCTTTACAAGTTAAAAGCCTTTATCTCATTAATGATGACAAAGAAAGAGACAGAAAAAAGCCAATATCTCCAGTATAGTAAGTAAAATAATGCTCTATATTACAAGTTTTTCCAGGGATGCCCAATAACCAAAAAGTTCAAGGTATAATAAGTGCTATTCTGTAGTTTTGTTCAGAGGTTTTTTTTTCCCCAAACAGACAGACGCCGCTCTCTTAGAAGAGGGAAGTCATCCCAAAAAAAAAAGCTCTTTGCAGAAAAAGTAGTTCAGAGAAATAGGAAGGACAGAGGGAGGGAAAAAAGTCTCACCCGGATTCACCACGGTGGTTCTTTGTGCTTAGATGACTTTCTGACTTCAGCTAGCACAGCTAAGTAATTGGCCATTTTACTGGCCGATCTTCTCTATCGGCCCTACGGAGTTAGCTCGGACTGTAGGGGGAGCCGTCGCTCCACCGCAGCCGAGCAAAAGCCTCAACGGTGGTCGCCCCTCCAGGGCGATTTAGGATCCACATAAGAATCTACCGGTTGAGAGAAAGCAGCAAACGAAGAGCAGCAGCTCTTCGTAGAGCTGCGCCTGGCATGATCGGACGCGGAAGTGCTTAAGTTTCAATCTGATGTTGCACAGATTTAGGACTCAGCACACTGCGCTTCGTAACGACTAAATTAACATGTTTCATCATGCAGTAGTTTTGTATCCTTAATTACTTAAAATTGGACTAGTCAAGAAGTGTAAAAATGTAAGATCAGCTCAGATAAGATGGCAAATGAGATACAAATGAAAGCTTTTTATCATACCGTGATTATTTTGTAGAAACCAAAGCCCAAAGTGGGATCTATCAGCTTATATCTGAATAGGGCAATACTAAAATAGCATTCAGAAGACTCTCTACTCATCTAAGCACTATTTAGCATAAATATATTCACACCTGCTTCAACAGGCTGATTATGAGTTGAGTAAAGATCAAGTGCCTTACATTCCAGGGCAGAGTTTGTTATAATTGGTGACATAAACTGATACACACAAACCTATGTGGCATATCTCAAAACTCTTGTATGCTGCTTTTCCACATAAACCAAGTTAATCATTTCTGGCAAAGAGCATAAATATGGGAAGCATTTGAGAATTGCTTACATTGGAAGTATCTTTAATAAGAAATGTACCTCAAAAAAAAGCATCAAATTAAAACTAAAGAAACAATTATGGCTTAAATATCTAGCAGAGAAAGTCTTACTTCAAAACAGTAAATGTTATTTCAAAATATTTTCTAAGTCTATCCTTCCATAGCCTAGTAACTCTCAAGTATGAAGACTGCCACTCTAGCAATACACCCATTGCTAAGAACAGATGTCTGAAGCACTCTACAAATGTCGAGAACATTTCTTTTAACACTTATAAGCAAAAATCTATCCATGTTTGAGTGAACTGATATTGAACTAGAAGCTAGTAGAAGCTGATAAATTTCCTTTCAGGTATAACATAATAAGAACCACTACCATTTAGCACAGATGTTTCCATGCAACAGAAGTTTAGAATTTATGGAATAAATTAGCAAAGCAGCTGCGTTAATGTGATATATCAGGTATGGTGTCTAGAAGCATGAAGTTTTCTTGAATGAAGAAAGCACTCTTTCTAAGCTTTACAAAGGATTGCTTGGCAATATACAAGATACAAAACTAATGACTTGTAACAGTATAGTGATATAATTCAACTTCATATTGATTTGGTGATAGATCAATTTAATATTTCTTGCCATTATATTAATCTTGGAAAGGTTACATTCAGTTTATAGTACAGATGACAACATTGCTCTATCATTATTCCTTATAACAAACACAATATGGAGCTCCTGAAAAGAATATTAAATTTCAGCTACATCTAAAAGTCTACAGGTTCCTATGGCTGCATTGTAGCGTAGCATTCCCAGTACATATGCCAAGATTTCACTATAATCAGATAAAAATAAAAATCCTAACATTTCTATTTTAGGACACTTAACAACAAAGAAATAATCTGGTTATCAGAAATAACACATGAATCTATTAAACATTAGATCCTTTACGTAATTAATCCGATAATTTGACTTTTAAAAAGCTTTAAATATTTAAATGTGTGAACATTTAAATCAAAACTTTTAAAAATCAAAAATCCTACATCAAAAACACTTTGCATATTGACCTTAAGTCATATATTTGCTGAAAATATTGTTTAAAGCAGGGGTGTCAAACTCGCAACATCATGTGACGTGTCACGACATATTGTGACTTTTTTTCCATTGCCGGCAAGGGGGTGGGCATGGTTTCGCCATGATGCATCCGGCCCGTGGGCTGGCAGTTTGACACCCCTGGTTTAAAGAGATTGTATAGCAGGTGACTAACCACCTGCTTATAAATTACTATTTATACATCCTATTTCTAAATCAGTGATAAAATATATCTGTATCTTTTCTTGACTCTATATTCATAACTTTTATGCCAGTTTATGTTCTTGAATCACAAATCACAACCATGTATTTCCACATACAAAACCTGCCTATGGTGAAGTTCTTCAATATGTACATTTTTAAAAATTATTATTTTTTGTTTGGTAATTTAAAACCATTAGCTTTTGTCTGAAAGTCTATTGCTTCTACATGAAGCCATTATCATGCATATTTAAAAAATTGCTGCTCCCATTTGCTGTGTCACTTGAATTAGTCATATGATCCTGTTCCAATCCCCACTCTCCTTCATCCTCTTCATCAGGTTCAGCTTCAGATCCACTATGAGTGTTCTCATACAGAAAAACCTGCTCATCTACGTGAGCTGGGGCTAGCCGATTTCTTTTAGCACTAACAACATTGGCTGAAGAACTAAAAAGACGTTCTGGAAAGATCCTTGTAGCTGCAATGCACCAGTATTTCCGAAGCACGTTTGGCAAAGAAGGAAACAAAGCAATTCTATCAGACCACCACTTGAGTGGATCTTCACTGAGGCCAAGGACTTTCTGTGACTTGAAATTACTCAGTTCCTCAATAATCTGAGCATGCCACTCCTCTTGATCTTCAACACCCCCTGTCTGGCAAAAGATTTCTGCAAGCATATTATTGATAGCACTAGGAGGAGGAGGCGTGGAAGCAATTGCCACCTTTTTCACTGGTGGCTCTTCTGACACTGCAAACATTTTTTCTTCAGGCCTTGAAATATTGTCTTTTATTTTTTCCAGGATACTTTTTGCTTCCTCCAGCACTCTGTTCTCAACCTGTTGTTTTTCAAATGTCGAAAGAAAGGGCAATTTCTTGTATCTTGGATCTAAGAAAGTTGCAACATTGAGAAACATGTCTATCTCAGGATTATGCTGGTATGTTGCTGATAATTTCTTGACAATCACTTCCTTTGCCATGCTTATTTCTTTTAAGTCATTTTCTTTTATACTTAATGTTGTATTTAACAGCATGTGAAGAAGAGGTTTCACCATGCTTATTCTTGGGTACTTGGAAGCAGATATCATCTCAGCTACCTGTTTGAATGGCTGAAGTAAATCCACCAGCCCTTCAATTGTATTCCATTCGTTAGCTTCCAGCATCAGGTGGTGATTATTGCTATCTTCCACAAGTACTGCAGCAATGACAAACTGTTGCTCTTTAAGACGTTGCAGCATGGCAAGTGTGCTGCCCCACCAAGAAACACGATCACTCACAAGCATGCAGTGCAAACTGTTCTGCTGTTGCTGCTTTTCACTCAACATGTACGTGGCTATTGTAGACTGCTGAAAATATTCCACCAGTTTTCGACATCTAGATAGGACACTATTCAATTTAGGAAGCTGAAAAGCTTGCTGTATACCCGCATTGAAAGTCTGACCTAAGCAAGGCATCTGTACTGAAATGTCCAAAAGAGAGCAAGCTTTCACTACATCTTTCCCATTATCCATAGTAGCCCCAAAAACTTTGGTATTGATTTCCCATTCAATGAATATCTCATACAGGACTCTTGTAATTGTCTCAACAGTGTTTTCTTCTGGCATTTCAAATGTTTTTAGGCAACGAGAATTAATAGCCAAGCTGCCAGAAGAACTATTACTAAGAAAATGAACAGACAATGTTACATAGGATCTATTCTGGCTATGACTTCTCCATATATCAGTTGATATGCCACACCATGGAATGTCTGCCAATTCTTTTAACACAATCTCTCTAACAGCAACATATTTTTCAGGAATTCCTTTTGTGCAGAAGTACTTTCTGCAAGGAAGTTCATATCTGGGGTCAGCTGTTCTTAAGAGACTCTTAAATGTGGGTTCATCCACAATAGATGGAGGATGTAACCCTTCACAGATTAAACTAATCACTGCTGAGGTCAGCTCTTGATGCTTTTTATTCTCATAATTGTGACTTGTTTTCATAATTAAGTTGTCCTGAACAATCTGCTGAGATGATTCAGGCTTCAGTTTTGAAAATGCAGTTGCAAACGCCTCTCTCATTTGCTCAGTGTTGCTTTTCACAAATTCACAAAATTCATCTGGGTGGTTCTTTTCAAGATGGTAAGAGAGGTTGGATGTATTTCCTGAATAGGCAATCTGTGCCATACAAATGCGGCAGTAGATCTTCTTCCATTGTAATATACATCCCTCTGCATTGGTATCAAAGCCGAAGTACTTCCATACTTTACTCTTTGCTCTTGGGTGGGCCACTAACTTTAGGTCTGATGGGGAAGTTTCCAAAGTTTTATTCTCCATTGCTTTTTATCCACTGTCCCAACCTTTTGATTCTTCACTCATTAATGAGCACCTGATAAAGGCAGCAGATAAACATAACATGAGAAAGGACTGGTTTGCTCAACTGTATAAAATTAATGCTTCAATAAATATACAAAACCTACCTTAATAATAATATTGGAATGTTCCTCTTTGGAAACTGAATATATGCAATAATACTTCTACATGTTTTGCAAGTAGTAGTTAGTCAGATTTTATGACAAAACATTGGACCAAACTTAATTGCCCTCTGGACAACAATATGGGATATAAATTGCTAATTGTTTTTTACTTTATTTATAAAATTTATAGCTGCCCATCTTATTTCAAGGTAATTTTGGGCAGCTTACATAGACAGTATTGCAAATAGAATAAGTGCCATAGCCTCAATTGCATGTTTAATTTAAATACACAGAGAATAGCTCATTACAATAGCTGATGCATCAAGGATACAACAAAATGTTATCCAATCTCTTTCAACACTGAATAAATTCTCATCTCTGATGCAATCTCTGCATACCAGGAATCCATGACTTCAAGAATAGTTTGTTCTCCAGATTCAAGTGTCAGAAAGCTTCTATAGATAACTCGAGAAATAGCTGCCTTTTCCTCCTATACCACAGGTAAGCAACCTGCGGCTCTGGAGTCGCATGCAGCTCTGAGCCTTCCCCTGTGGCTCCCAGCCTCCTCTGCCATTTGCAGAGAGAGACAGAGAGAGGCACTTGCACTTCTCTTCTCTCTCTCTCTCTCTCTGCGTGTGTGTGTGTGTAAAAAAGAGTGGACTCATGATGTTCTCCGACGAGCTGAAAAGCTTATTTGGGCGGGGCTCCTCCCTTTGCTGCGTCTCTGCAGGAAGCAGGAGAGAGCTAGCTAGCCCAGCTATGCTGACTCAGGAATTCTGGGAGTTGAAGTCCATGAGACATAAAAGAGCTGAGGTTGCCTACCCCTGAGCTTGTTGGAGAACAGCTTGAAGCCAGCTTGTCAGGTGAGCAGAAGATCGGAGAGAGGGAGAGAGAGGGGGGATAGAAAGAGAGAGGGAGGGGGGAAAGAGACAGAAAGAGAGGGAAAGGAAAGAGAGGGAAAGAGAGAGAAAGAAAAAGAAAAAAGAGAAAGAAAGAAAGAAAGAAAGAAAGAAAGAAAGAGAGGGAGGGAGGGAGGGAGGGAGGGAGGGAGGGAGGGAGGGAGGGAAAGAGAGAGGGAAAGAGAGACAGACAGAGACCCTTTTGACATCTAAAATGAAGATAACACTGCATATATCCTTTTTTACCTTTACTATAAGTGTGTGTGTGTGTGTGTGTGTGTGTGTGTACACACACATATAATAAAGGTAAAAAAGGACATATGCAGCGTTATCTTCATTTTAGATATCAAAAGGGTTTTGCGGCTCCCAGTGTTTTGTTTTCGGTGGGAAACGGGTCCAAGTGGCTCTTTGAGTGTTTTGGGTTGCCTACCCGTCCTATACCATGAATAAGAGTGTATTAGCGACTGATCACACTGACCAGAAGAAATACTCACCATGATAAGTGAAGATTTGTGATCCTAAACATATAGTACTGCTTATGGCAATGAGCAAGGAAGCCTTTCATAAACTGAGAATTTGTGAAATTACTTTTTCCCTTCTTGAGACTTTTTAATTGTCATAAGCATGGATGTATTTTTCTGGCTATTATTATGAATATGCTCAAATAGTTTTCTTATATTTTTTGATATTTCATAGCATTAATATGACATAAAAGCTAGCAGCGTTTTAATGAACAGAATTTGGAAGACCATTTGTTGAATGTTCATCTAGAATCTAACAAAACAATGCCTTGTGTTACTGAGAAGTTTATTAGAAAATATGAGTTGTGCTGTATTTATTGTGCTGCTTTCAGAAATTCAGTCCTATAAAGTTGCTTCAATACAGTATGTCCAAATGTGTAAACTGCTCTCTCTGTCTAGTTTTGAACTGTTTACTTAATTTGATGCACATATGAACAAGCAAGATGGTTAAAATTCAACAAACAAGAAGTTTAAACAAAAATTTTAAAAATTCCTCTGGATGGTCACACAGTTCTCCCCATAAGAGTCTTTGCAGCACTACTGTATATCCCAAATTAACATCATAGGAGATGGAATGATCTCAAAAAAGCTAAACTGGAATGGATCTGGTTACACTCAGATGGGGAGACTACTACAAAATCTAAGAATTGAAGAACTATAAGCTAGATTCAATAGTTGAAAACAAGTTGAGGACGATAATTAGAAATCACTTTTATTATTTTCATGAGAATTACAAGGCTTATTCCATGAAATTACAACACATCGTGTTTAGCCTTTATTTTAAACTGTAATAAATTCCTCTGAAATAAATTGTATACAAATAGTCCTCAACTTACAACCACAATTGAACCAGAATTTATGTTACTAAGTGAGAAATTTGTTAAGTGAGTTTTGCTCCATTTTACAACTTTTCTTGCCACATTCATTAAGTGAATCACTGCTATTGTTAAATTAGTAATGGTTGTTAAATAAATCTGGCTTCTCCACTGACTTTGCTTGTCAGAAGGTTGCAAAAGGTGGTCACATGACCCTGGGACATTGCAACTGTCATAAATATGAACCAGTTGTCAAGCATCCGAATGTAAATCACATGACCATGGGGATGCTGCAACAGTCATAAGTGTGAAAATGGTCATAAGTCACTTTTTTCAATGCTGTTGTAACTTTGAAAGGTCGCTAAATGAACTTTTGTAAGTCAAGGACTACTTGTAATGCAAAGTGCTTATTTTACAATGTGTATATGGTGATCTCTTACACTAATTAATTTTGGGTAGCTCAATGTCATTTGCACAACTAGTAATTGCATTTTCAATAAATGTTTATATCTTTATCAGTAATTGGCATATAGAAACATATATCACAAAAAGAGTCACAGTGGTGCAGTGGTTAGAATAGAGTACTGCAGGCTAATTCATTGCTTACTCCAGGAGTTTGATTCTCACCAGCTCAAGGCTGACTCAGCCTTCCATCCTTCCGAGGTTGGTAAAATGAGGACCCAGATTGTTGGGGGCAATATGCTGACTCTGTAAACTGCTTAAAGAGGGCTGTAAAGCTTTATGAAGCAATATATAAGTCTAAGTGCTATTGCTATACAGATAAAATCTATGGTTTATAGACTCTAAAGAGTTATCATTGTATACAAGGGAAAAGGTATGTGTTAGGCAATAAATATGTGTAACTATGTATTCATGTAAAGATTGTTTGTACTCAATCTTTGTTCCTAAAAATGGCAAATCATTTTGCATAAATGCCCACACTTCTTAAGTATACAAGTTATTTTGTCACTCATTTACCATGGTCTAAAAATATAGTGCAAGAGAAAGGAGACACTGCACTATTTAGTTTTTTTAGCTCAAGGAATTCACTCTCACTGTTAAGGTATCTTTAAAGACTTCTTGTAAATGACACATTTACAGCTAATAATGAGGCCATTACTATTATCAACATTCCTCCTGGGCACTTGAATTTCTCTGCCTTGATATATGAATCAAGAGGAAAACAGGTGTTTTAATTTGCTTTTTTAGAACTTATAACCAGCACCACAGCTGGCACTTCATAAACTACTTGATAAATGGAACCAAGCCACCATTTCCGAAAAATAGCTGTCAGTAGCATTTTGGTTGACAAAGTTTACCTGGCAGGTAACTAATATTAGAGTAATAATAAATGAGTACAAGATGCTATTCTTAATTTAGATGGAGTATTTATAAAGCATATGGACACTACAACCACAGCAAGTTCCCTACTGGCTAATAAGTACTACCCTTCGTCTTCCTTCATTTTAAATTAAGTTAAAAATTGGCTCATTTTCCTAATAAAACAATAACCAAAGTCTTGGAATCAACTTATTTTCAAAGTTCAAAGCTAACTGTTTTCATAAATTTAATAGAGCCATTTTCTTAAATGTAATAGAGCCATATTATATTTTCTCATAACTTTTAAGCAATGTGTAAGAATGGAATGTTGCAGAATAGTTAGATGTTCTGTAATTTAGAATACCTAGTGGTGTTTTCTCTTAGACCAGTGGTTCTCAACCTGTGGGTCGGGACTCCATTTGGGGTCGAATGACCATTTCATGGGGGTCGCCAAACAATGCAGTCTGCCATTTTTTCCCCCTTTTCCTTAGCTGTGCTACTCCCTTTTATTCTATTGGCTTTTGAAAGCCAATAGAATAGACTCTCTTGAATAGAGTCTAATTCTATTGGCTTTCAAAAGCCAATAGGAATTGTCCAGGCTGTCTCTGCCCTGCTGAGCCCGCCAAAAGTCCCATTCTGCAAATGGTGCTGCACCAGTTGAGTAGTCCTCGACTTACGACCGGTTGGGGGTCGCGGCATTAAAAAGGTTGAGAACCACTGTCTTAGACGGACTCCTGAAAGCAAGAGAAAGGAGTCAATAAAATACCTGGCAAGATTTGAAATTTGAAGGTAGAATTTAGTAAAGTAGCAAGCCGGTGGGGAACAAATAAGTTGAAACTTATATTTATAATTTTAATTGTCAAATTATAGCCTTTGGTCTATGAAGTTTCAGAAAAGAATATTACACCTTCAGGAAGAAGAGTGAAAACTGAACATTAACATTTGATCTGATTAGTTACCTAAGCAAGAAGGAGATAGTAAGATAAGTGGGTAGAACTATTGAAAAGGGGCAATTTTATTTGCTGCTTTTCCACATCAGGTGAGTTTCCTCCTTCCTCACCTCGCGAAGAGGTACTACTGCTGTTTTTTTTTTTTCAGTTGTAAAAGTTCTGGTCCTTTCTTAGTAAATCTTTTACTGTTATCAACAATTTGGAATCAAGAGGAGTAATGTTGCCCATATTAGTGCCCAACTTTGAAAAATAGAAAAGGACAGAGAAGTAGTAGTTTTTAAAATTTCCTGGAAAAGGGTAATTAAGCCAGTATAATTACATAATACATGGGTGCTTGCCTTCAACAAAATTCTGTAGTCTGAATGGATGCAATTTTTTGCTTTTAGTTTTCAAATCCAGTGAACAGATAAATCATGGCATTCAATTTTATACACCATAGTCCCAGGGATTATAAAACAATTGTATCAAAATTTGCCCTCAATTTATCTTCTCTATATACTAAGATAATTAATTATACATTCAAGATAAAATAAGGATAGATCTTATAAAGTTTTCTAAGTTATATGTTGAAATTAAAATATTAGACATTACATACTTAGATTAAATACAACATAAATGCATTAGCAAAACACTTTTTAATAAAAGTGAAATAATATTCAAAAATGGCACAGTCCATCAATGATATACTACACAAAATCAACACATTTCACTCAACCTAACTAGGTGGAATCTGCAGTCTACATATTATAAATTAATTTAAATGAAATCTATAAATCCAGTCTAGATCTAGTGTAGTGTCTATTCACATAACAATCAAGAAAAAGTCTGGCTTATCTGTGTGTCCAGTATATGCTTTCCCTAAGCAAGAAAGCTACAAATCATTTATCTACAGTTTTACAGATCCTGAAACTCTAGGGTGCAAAAGAAGTCAAAGAAATAGAATAGATTATGACAATCTAGAAAGAACAGAAACAAAGGTGTTGAGCTTAATCATTCAGAAGAAAGTGACCAGGTGTATTCACAGGTAAACCAGCTTAAACTATATTATGGATAGTGAAAATTACTGATCTTTACCATAGTATATTGTAGCTCTAACCAAAGACAATTATATCAATTAATTACATTTGTACAGATCAAGAGCAGTTCAGGTATGCATTATTTAGACTATTTTAACTGGCATTTTACTTGCAAAGTTTCAGTGCAAAATGTAACAAAATATTGCTATCAAAATGAAACCACAGGTTCAATCCTACCTGCAGTAGTTCAAGAGAAATCTCTCATATGATAGCACTTTCATTTTCTAGTTTGCTAGGATTTATCCTGATGAGTAACTTTAGACAATTTTTACGTGCGTGCTTCTCCCAATTCTTCCAGCATAGAAACTAAAAAACAGGAAGCTTCCACTGCCATTTCTAGTTTCTTGTTTATGAATCCTTGTTCCCTGCATTTTTCTCCGCACAATAAAAGCCCAACTCATGCAGATAAGCAAAGCGATGGCGTTCGAGAAGAATCATTAGCTTATTTTTGCATTTAAAGAACACACCGCCCACCCCAGCTCCGCGTGCAATCTACTAACCTGTTTTGGAAACGGAACGCGGACGGAGGCGTCGAAACAGCTGCTCCAGGACGACGCGGAAGCCGATAAAATAGACCCAAAGGGCAGGCATTACCAAGGACAATAGCGACATGGCTGCTAGGCCGCGCTGAAGGTCAGACGCCGCCTTAGATTTCCTTCTGTAGCTTGGTCTGTGAAGAGCCAGTTTCCAACTTACCAGGGCAGTCGAGGAATCGGCACAACGCCGTCTGAACCCTACTAGATAGCCACACCCAGCGGAAGAGGATTCCGGCCTCCCGCCTTCAATGGGTCGATCGGTTCCTTTCTGAGCATGTGCGCTGGTGATCTCATCCTTTCGTGTATGGTTTCTCTCTGCTCCTCCCTATCGCTCGCTTGTCGCGGGGGGTCGAGAGAGATGGTGCGTGGAAAGTTGCAGATAGAGTGAAGAGGGGACATGATCCCACTCACGTAGTTACTTTTAAGCTTTAATAGTACTATCTGCCTCAAATATGTCAAGGCTCGTGTTAATTTGTTTCTCAGGTTCCTTCACACCCCACGTACACCATTTACCACTCTTCAGAATGGAAAATATGAGGGGATATTGCTATTTTTGCCCTTAGACAGTACAGGTAGTCTTTGACCAAAATTTCTGTTGCTAAGCAAGACAGTTAAGTGAATTTTGCCCCATTTTTACATCCTTTCTTGCCACAGTTGTTAAGGGAATCACTGCAGTTGTGAAGTTAGTAACAGGATTGTTAAGTGAATTTGGCTTCCCCATTGACTTTGCTGGTCAGAAGGTCACAAAAGCAGTCATGTGACCTTAGAACACTGCAACCATCATAAAATCCGGGCTAGGTGCCAAGCGTCTGAATTTTGATCGTGTGACCATGGGAATGCTACAACAGTTTTGTGAAAAATGGATTATAAGTCACTTTTTTCATGCTGTAATTTTGAACAGTCATTAAACAAACTGTTGTAAGTGGAGGACTATCTGTACCTAAAGACAGGAACCCTGTCTTTTCCTGATCTTATTTCCAATATTAAATCAATCAGACACATCTATGATATTCAACAATATCAGTGTGCAATGTTGTGATCTAATTCCCAATAGCATTGCCTGTTTTACAGTTTGGATTATGCCATTAGATCATGGTTCTCAACCTTTTTAATGCCGCGACCCCCAACCGGTCGTAAGTCGAGGACTATTCAACCAGTCGTAAGTCGAGGACTACTCAACTGGTGCAGCACTGTTTGCAGAATGGGACTTTTGGCGGGCTCAGCAGGGCAGAGACAGCCTGGACAATTCCTATTGGCTTTTGAAAGCCAATAGAATTAGACTCTATTCAAGAGAGTCTATTCTATTGGCTTTCAAAAGCCAATAGAATAAAAGGGAGTAGCACAGCTAAGGAAAAGGGGGAAAAAATGGCGGACTGCGTTGTTTGGCGACCTCCGTGAAATGGTCATTCAACCCCAAATGGGGTCCCGACCCACAGGTTGAGAACCACTGCATTAGATTAATGCACATTTTCAATGTAATTGTTATAACCTGTTTTAATAAACCAGGTCAGAAAATGCATAAAATATGTGCTACCTCCTGAAAATACAGGGTAACAAACACTAACAGAACTAGAGCAGCGGTTCTCAATCTGTGGGTCATGACCCCTTTGGGGGTCGAACGACTCTTTCACAGGGGTCGCCTAAGACCATCCGAAAAAACATATTTCCGATGGTCTTAGGAACCAATTGGCGCAGCTCAAGCTCGATTTTTGAAAAGCACTCAAATCAAAGGCAGCAATGTCACGAAAGCAAAGGCTGCAGGGGGGGCAGGAGAGGAAGAGTCAGCGAGCCCCAGCCAGCGAATAAACCGAGCCAGCCAGCCAGGCTGAAAAGAGGCGGGGCCTCCCAAACCCTGACTTTTTTCCTCTCTCCTCCTTTCCTTTGCAACTTGCAAAGGAAAGGGACCCCCCCAGACAGAAGCACGGGAAGGCTGGAGAGCTTTGCGCGGGGTCCCGATTCCCCTTTGCTCCACCACCAGCACTGCCGCCAGACCAGCCAGCTGCTGGGGAAAATTTCCCTTCCCCCCCCCCTTCCCTCTCCCTCTTTTTTTAGTGCAAAAAAAAAAAGTCCCAGTCTCTTGTTTTTCCTTTTCTTTCCCTCTTCTCGGCTTTTTAAAAATAACAACCGGGGGATCTTCAAGCCAATAGTTGTTGCTGGGGCATTAAAAAAAAAAGTCCTTCCCAGGCAGGGAATCTTTCGGCGCTTCTTTGGCTTTTCTGAGCTGGGGGAGAGGAGAGCTGATTGGGGGGGAGGTCCTAAGAAGAAGGGAAAGACCCACGGGAGAGGCTTGGCTGCTTTTCTGCTCAAGCAGCCAGCAAGAAAAAAGCCCTGGAAGGTCGGCTGTCCAGGTTTTTCAATCCCTTATTAAATAGGCAAAGGCTTGGCCATTTAATAGTTTGCTCAAACTTTTTAACCTCCCAGATTTTTTACCTTCAAATATGAACGAATAAATGGCATATTAAAAAAAGAAAGAAGTAAATCATAGGAAGAGCCCGTTTAGGAACGTGAGAGAAATAATATTCAAGAGGAGAAAATCGGGTGAATTTGATGCCCCCTAACAGAAGGTGGGTGTAAGGACCCACCCCGCTTTGCATCTTAAGAAGACAGAACTCTTGGAATAATTCTTCCAACAGGCATCTTTTATTAAGAGAAAATGGTTGCAGGTGTTCTAGACAGGACTTGGGGTCCAAGCTCTCCCATTCAAGGTTTTAAGGGGTTCCCCAGTAATCCCACCCAATCACCCCCTACTTTCAGCGACAGTTTCAGGCATTACAATCCCACCCCCTTTTCCTTTCTGCCGGCTGGATGGAGACTTCAAAGAAAACTACATGAAAGGTAACAGCTCCATTCTTATGGTTAGCTCTTTTGGCAATACACACAATCAGCTGCTTTATTTATTTATTTTATTTATTTTATGAGACTTATATACCGCTTTAAGTGCAAGTACTCTCTAAGCAGTGTACACCAGTAAGCAATGTATGTATATATTTACATTGCCCCCAACAATCTGGGTCCTCATTTTACCTACCTCGGAATGAGGGAAGGCTGAGTCAACCTTGAGCCGGTGAGATTTGAACCGCTGACCTGCTGAACACAGTCAGCTAAAGTGGCCTGCAGTACTGCACTCTAACTGCTGCGCCACCTCGGCTCTTTTAAGTGTACCGAAGGAAGTGAGGGCCATAAAGCCCCTTTGTTCACCCCCCTTCCCTTCATCGTATGGCAGAATCCATAGAAGGCAGAAATGGGGTTTTTTATAATTGATAACTAGAGATGAAATATAATTAATATAATTGGATTCTGACAGTGGGGGAGAAATTTGGAGAGCAGCTTGTTTTATTTGCTCAAAATGCTTTTCAAAGGCTCCAAAGAAAGAAGGGGAAAAAAAGAGATTTAGAGGCTTAGGGTGGTTTTGCAGAAAGAAAATCTGGTCACCTATAAGCCATTGCCCTTAGTTACACATCTACAGGAAGCAGACAGAAGGTGCAGATCTGGTGGTTTTGATTGACAGCTCCTCACATTGTTGGGCAGCTTTAATAGAATTTATCCCTGGGCCCCTCCAATATACAAAAGAGGGGAGGGGGGGTTGTCAAAAGAAGGCAACATACCCAGACTTCTGCTTTCTCCTTTTTAAATTCAGATCCTGCTGCACGGAGGTGCAGGCCAGGCTCTCCCTGCCTTACTTCTTCTGCAGAGAAAAACCAAGCCTACTTTTTTTAGAAAATAGTTTCTTTCCATCAGGAAGAGAATGTAAAATGAGAAAAAGATCTCAGTAGCTTCAGGAAAAAAAAACCCTTTGGAGAGGTCTGAGAGTTTAAGATTGGGAGGCTTTTGTTGAAATTCCCTCTCCACCCCCCCCCCCGCTAAATCTATCCCACCTGGAGACCTATACCTAAGGCAGAATCCCTTTCTCCTTGAGGATTCCCTGGTAAAAACTGTCTTTCACATTAACCCAATTGGCCTCCGTCCGGGACAGGATCCTGCTGACTCTATTTGTGTTATTTCTTAAAGTTATTGGCCATCATTTTAGGCTTCGGTTTTCTTTTCTTTTGCAGGAAGGGGATTAGATGCCATACAAAGGCAGCCCCCTCCCTGCTTTAGTTTACCGCAGGATGCATTAAACCAGCGGTTCTCAACCTGTGGGTTGGCTTTTTACGCATACTGTTGCAAAATGTAGCAATGTAGTTTACTGTTGTTATATTAAGACTGTTACCCATGCTACACCATGCTTCAAGACAAAATTTCATTTATTTGTAATTAGAAATAAATATTTTACAATATATAATTACATATTATTTTGTGATTAATCACTATGCTTTAATTATGTTCAATTTGTAACAATGAAAATACATCCTGCATATCAGATATTTACATTATGATTCATAACAGTAGCAAAATTACATAATTTTTGTTATTAAAAGTTTTATAAATTTATTACAATATAAACCCCCCCACTCCTTCCCTCCTCCCCCACTTCCCAGAGCTGATTACAGGGTAAAACAAAATAATAAACAAATATAATCCAACTAACATAAAGCAACTATACTACTGGTTCTCAACCTTTTTATAGCCGCGACCCCGGTCGTAAGTCGAGGACTACCGGCCCGGGAGCGCTGCGCATGCGTGGTGCCGCCTCCTGTGCCGGCTGAGGCATAGCTGGCAAGGGGCGGCAGGCAGGCCTGTGCGCTCCCAGGTGGCCGCAGCACCAGGGCGACCACTGGCTGGCCCACCAGCTGGCCCAGCCCAAGGCAGGTAAGGCACCCGCTGGGCCTCACGCACGCCAGCAACCCTCCCTGCGCCCGCCGCTGCCCCACTAGGCTTACCTTGGCCGCCGCCCATTCGGGGTGGTGGCAGGCAGGCCCAGGTGTGCCCGGGCGGCCGCGGCAGTGGCGGTGCAGGGCGACCACCAGCTGGGCCACCAGCTGGCCCAGCCCAAGGCAGGTAAGTCACCTGCCAGGCCCCATGCGCTCCAGCAACCCTCCCTGTGCCCACCGGCCTCCCACCTCCCACCCCCGGCCCTCTTTTACTTACTTTTTAGTTGCTCAGCAGGGAGGGAAGCTCTGCAGACTGTTCCCCTTGCAGCACCGTTTGCAGACTGGGGCTTTTGCCGGGCTCAGCAGGGCAGAGACAGCCCTGGACAATTCCTATTGGCTTTTGAAAGCCAATAGAAATAGACTCTGTTCAAGAGAGTCTATTCTATTGGCTTTTGAAAGCCAATAGAATAAGAGGGAGTAGCAGAGCTAAGGAAAAGGGGGAAAAATGGTGGAAAAAATGGCGGATCGTGTTGTTT